CCTCGGCCCGGCACGGAGAGGGAACCCCGCGGCGCCTACGGCCCGCCTGAGCGCCGGGGCTGCGGCCTGGGGGAGCGGCGGCGGGAACCCCTTCTTCTCCACAGAGTTTTACTTCCCCGCGGGGTGGTGGACGGGGAGGGGACTGAGGTCTTAAGTATCCGGGAGGTAGGCCTGACCTTGAGTTTTTCAAAGCCTAAAGAGCTTTGAGTCAAAATCAGGTAATAACAGTGTATTTGTTGTGACTGCCTGTGATGCATGCTGAGGAAATACTAATATTATTTTTAGCATTTTTAGAAGGCTGGCGGTGATGCCGTTTTAACTACCAAGGCAGGTAACTTGAGGTAACTAACAAGGCACTTGAAGTAGCGGTAGGTTATCTTGAAGCAGGTAATTCAGTCAACGAGTACTTTTTAAAATAAATTTCCATTAGCACTGGAGATGGCATTTTCTCAGATGTGGACCGCAATGGCCCACATTCATTGTGCCAGCATGATGGACCGTCAACTACCACTGTCAAAGAAAATAGGGAAGGACATAACGGCTAAAAATTACAAGCAACGACAATAGATATTTGGGAGAAATTTCTTTTGTTCTCTCTATTTTGATTCTCTGTTTTACCTGTTAGCAGCCTCTTACTTCTTCCCCCAGTACTCTGATGATAGCTGTGATGGGGGTGTCTGTGGCAAATAACAGGGGGCAACAAAAGGCACGAGGCATGTCCTTGTGTTGGCAGTGGACACAAATGTAGGTTAATTTTAGTGGAAGTTAAGGTGCCCAAGGACTGCTGAGCTGTGGAAGCAAAGCTGTGGTTTTGTTTGACGTGTTCTCTCACATCATGCATCCCCATGCACGGAGCTTCTCTGCCCACAGTGGAAATGACTGCTGAGGCCAAGGGAGAATCCTGGAAGGAGTTGGACATGTACAAACATCACACGGTGGCCTTAATGCAGCTGTCAAAGCAACCTACCAAAGCAACCGTGGCGTTATTTTTGTCTGCCATGAATAAAAATAAAAGCAGATTCCTTCTAGGTGTTCCCAAGTATGTAAACACCCAAAGAACAGAGGTAGTATTCCAACTTATTTCTACAAGTACTGGAAACTTTACAATACATTTAGTAATGCGCATAAGTGAATTGGGATCTGTCTAGGTTTTTCTCATTTGGCTAAAAGTTGTATCTATCTGCTCTCTTAGGTACAGTTGGAATAGCTTTCTCTATCTTTTGGGCAGTGTATTTTTTATTATGACAGATTATTACTTTTTTCTTTAATATTGAGGAATCAGAAAAACTAATATCTGGGCATGCCTCAATATATGTATATATTTTTCAGTATCCAATGTATTTTCTGTAACTTAATATTTTTACAGAAGCAAAGTCAAGTATGACCCACTTCTGAGTAAGAAATAAAAAGGGAAATGCAGTAGGTTTGGCAACTCCAAGATGAAAACATCAGCAAGTTTGGGATCTTTCAGTCTGCATCCGGCCTGCAGTAAAACTAGTAATCTCCTTTCAAAGTGATTTTCTTGGAAATTTCCATGACAGATTTGGTTTTGGAGGAAGATATCACCATGTTCTAGGCCCAAACTGCTGTGATGATTATCTCATATAAACAGCTTTACAGTCATGTTACTGATGCCAAATCAAATAAGTAATGACAACATAAAGACAGCAATATTTCCTGTGTTTACTATTTACTCATATACTACCCCACTGATGAATAATGAAAGCAGATCTAAGAAGAATTATATCTCATCGTAGGTAAACCCACAAAAATTAGGGCAGCACTATGCATTGTTACAGAAACTGCATGTTCCAGCATATGTGAAATCTTGTCAGTCAGAATCAAGTCAATTAATTTCTTCTGTCAGTTACTGGTTTTCTTTAGTATCAAATAAATCATGAGGAAAATAGTAATACCATGCCACTGGCTGAACTCTGATTTTGTCTATTGCTGCATTATGTTTGGTGTCACTTGGTTAAGATTTAGATTTCAGTTATACCCAAATTTAATTTCTTTGCATATCATTGCATTAATAAAATAATGTGATAAAATGTCATTAGCCACCATAAGATAATTAAGCATAAATGTTATAAAAGAAAACCAATCAGGGACTAAAACTGTAGGGTTTTTGTCTGGTAAATCACAGAGTCATTTAAAATCTGACTTAATGTAAGTATGAATAATGTATGGAAAACATTAAACCATGAAGGATAAAAGTAAAATGCTTTTAAAAAAAAGCATTTAAAAAAAACAAATAAGCCCTTAAGTGCCTGTCAGTAACATGTGAAAATAAAAATGGCATCATCATCATCATTGATGTATGGGGAATGGAAGTCTTACGCAGAAAGCAGTAAAACTGCATTAGAAATTTTAGGAATTTACTGACGATAATTTTCCAGTTCCGAATAGGTGGCACACACAGAGACCAGACCATGGTGGAAAGGACTGGAAAGATCACAGGGCTGGAAGCTTGTGGTGGCATGAAGATCAGTGCTCACAACCAATTACATCAAATAAGGGCAGACAGAGTACAGACTCAGCCAAGATCTGTTACATGTGCACTTGTTTATGGCTGAGTAGGCATTTACAGATGGGTATGTATTTACTTAGATACACACATACAGATAAATTGTCTACACCTGCCTGATTAGTTTCCTAGAAAAAAAATAATTGTTAAGAAATAAGAAAATCTGAGAACATATTAGAGGAGAAACTTAACAGTATTAATGAAAATCAGGGAGTGTATCAGAAGACTTCATTACATGGTAAGTGTTCCACAATATTTTAAATATTTAAATAAACAATTTTATTAAAACCCCTTTCTGGAAAAGGAAGGAAAGACAATAGTTAGAAGTAGATAGCAATCACAAATATGTCAATAAAAATTACCAAATGAAGCCAAAGAAAATTCAAGCCTAGTAAAACTAGGGACAATAGAAGAAAATCTAAAATATAAACAAAAGAAGGTAAAACAGCAGCTAAGACTCAGTATGAGATTGATAGGAGAGCGCTAATGGTGCAGAGAAGTGTTCAACAGTTAGCTAGCTACAATATTTGGTAAGGAGCAAAAGGTTGTATTTATATCTGATCAGGGTATTGGAGAATTTGCCAGCCCATAATGACAATGTAAGTATTAAAACACATTAATTAGGAATAAATATTCTAAAAGGAAGGCGGAGAGAACCTTCACCCAATAATCCTAGAAGAGTTGGCTGAGGAGCGTTCTGCCTGCTGTTAATTATTGTTAATAATTCTGAGCATACAATGGAAGTCCTCCAGTGCTGGACTCAAACGACATGGTTGACCTCATCAGTTATAAAATGTAAAAGATGAAGTTCAGTCAATAAAAGTATATTGATGCTCACTAACACGGTTTTAGAAATAGGACTTGGCAAGCTGAACTCATGTTGTACTCTGATGAACTTACAAATATAATTGGGTTTTGTAACTGTGCTGATGTAATACACTTCTGTAGGGTATTTAACTTAGTCTTTCATGGCCTTCAAACTAAAACTAATTAACATTATGTAATATGAATTAAGATACACAGGAGATAAGAAATGCTGTATGACAAAGTAGCATCAAAACCATACATACCTGACCTTAGGTAATATTTTTATGAAGAATCTGGAAACAAATATAAAACCACCAAGCAATTGTATTTGCAGATGCCAAAAGCACAGATGAAGTGATAAATGATGATGGCAACGGACATCGCACAGTGCAATGTGGATTCCAGGATAAATTGGACCCATTCAAAGAAAGTGAATCCTAAAAAGTTGAGTGCAATCTCATATATGCAGGGGAAAAAAACATGTACTATACTCTGGAAGAGTAACCAGTGGCTGAACACAACCTAGCAGCAGGGTGGAGAAGCAGTGTGCGCTTCCCTAGTAGCACTGCTATCAATGAAGGCAGATGACTTCTGATGGGGATAATGACAGTAAAAGTTGAAAATGAGGATATTTATTGCAGCTAGCTGGTTTTATTAGCTCTGCTGACACCAGCAAGGGCTATCTAAGCCATGATATTTACAGAACACAGTCTGTTGAAGGGATACAAGCATAACCTTGAGAGAGAAGAGCTGGGAACATTGTAACCTGATAAAACAGGGAATGGTTTTTCCTTTTCAGCCCTTAATGTGGCTTCACTGCCCCTTCAATAAAGTCATTGCATACTTCAGATAACCCATGCCCACAGATAATCTGCACAAAATTGCATTAAGGAGATGGGGATAATCGAAGGGGATGAGACACAGGGCAACGGCTCCCGAGCAGAGGCTCTGGGATACATTTCCCCTGGTGTAACCTGAGTGTGAATATAATCAATGCTGCTGCTGAACCACAGAGCATTTTCCCACCCACGCATAAGCCACGGTTTTACAATTGAAAATACATGCTGAAGCACAACGGATGTTTGTTGACTGCCCTAGAAAGAGCACACCGAGCTGCCTTTCCTCCTTGTTCCCTTGTCCTAATTAATGCTAAGATTGTAGAGGATTTCCTCGTATGAGTTTCCTGTCATTTATGCAAGTCAAAAAGAGGCAAGTATTTCCCACTCTCAGAGGGGAGACACTAGAGCATGCACATATGTCAGGCAGCAGTGCTGTTGCCTTGAAATGTGAATTTCAATTTCAGTGAGCTTCCTTACATGATGACCCTTCATCTATTTACCTGATTTTAATGAAACTATTATATGAGAAAGTAATCTCTGACAATGATATTATTCGGTATAGCTTTCTAAAACCTTAATGTCTTAACCTTTGTTAGAGTGAGCCATGAAATTCACTAATTGGGTAAGGTCAATTGAAGTAGACACATGCTGCCTGGTGACAGCATGTGTTGCCATGAAACTTTGAGGGACTATAGAGTTCCCTCGGGGAAAACCCTTGTGAATTCAGCTAAAAAAATAAGCCATATAAGCACAGATATCTTTAATGGTTAGCATTTTAAGACAAGGTTTAAAATCTTTTTGTTAATTTATGAAATTACTTAGCTTCCATGCTTCTTTGATGGAAAAGCAGCAATGAGAAAAAAACAGTGCCTGAAATTTATTTTTTGTTATCAACATACAGGAAAATAATCTATTTAAAGCCAAATAATTCTAAAAAACTTCCTTGGTATTTTGATTTCTCTGTTCCTCATAATTGCCACCAGCTCCAATCCTATCTGTAGCTGTGGCTTCCAAACAGATTCACCGACTGTCCCATCACAGCCACAAGGACCTTCCCTCCTGTCTGTCCTTCACTTACCCTCAGACTATTTGCTCTGTCCTTTTCATCTAACTGAAATTCAGGTCCAATGCTTTTTCCCTGCAGTATTGCGCTTCCAGGTCCAGCTTTGTAGACTGGTGTGGTTTTTTCAAATCCTAGAATCACAGAATGGTTTGAGTTGGAAGGGACCTTAAAGATCATCTAGTTCCAACCCCCCTGCCATGGGCAGGGAAACCTTCCACTAGAACAGGCTGCTCAAAGCCCCATCCAGCCTGGCCTGGAACACTTCCAGGGATGGGGCATCCACAACCTCTCTGGGCAACCTGTTCCAGTGCCTCACCACCCTCACAATAAAGAACTCCTTCCTTACATCCGACATACATCTACACTCGTCCAGTTTAAAGCCATCACCCCTTGTCCTACCACTACATGCCCTTGTAAAAAGTCCCTCTCCAGGTTTCTTGTAGGCTGTCCTGGTTTCAGCTGGGATGTAGTTAACTGTCTTCCTAGTAGCTGGTACAGTGCTATGTTTTGAGTTCAGTATGTGAAGAATGTTGATAACACTGATGTTTTCAGTTGTTGCTCAGTAGTGTTTAGACTAGAGTCAAGGATTTTTCAGCTTCTCATGCCCAGCCAGGGCACCTGACCCAAACTGGCCAACAGTGTATTCCATACCATGTGATGTCCTGTCTAGTTTAGGAACTGGGAAGGGGGGGGCAGGGAATCGCAGCTTGGGGACTGGCTGGGGGTCGGTCGGCGGGGGGGGAGCAATTGCCCTGCGCATCATT